TTTATTCCAAACAAAACTTATCATTGTGTGTAAACTATTAAAATATAATTATACTTCATTTGATCTAATCCACCATGCTCAAACTTTTTACTGATATTAATGATATACAAAGTTTTCCATCTATTTATTTGCATAATTACGTATGTCATGACATCTAAAATTTTTCGAACGATTTATCTGGGTTCTTTTACAGATGCTCACTAGCGACTTGCCCTATTCAGGTAGGTAGTTACCTGGGGTTCTAGTGAGAAGTCGTGACCAGTAGGGTGCAGCAGGTCGAGTGTGAGAACAAACACTCGCCAAAGACATTGGCTGGGGGTCGCGCTATGTTGTGAATCGGCAGAAATTGGAATTCATGGGCTGGCCATTGGATCGGGTCCCAGTGTCTTAATGGTATACGAGCTCGCCTTGTAACCGGAAGGTCCTGGGTTCCAACCCCGACGGCTGCGTACTGCTGAAGATCCTAAACTTGGACGAAACAGCTGTCCAGTACTCCCAGGTTTTCCGGTGGTTCTCTAACCAATGTCAGCTAATGATTAAATCCTGTAGCCAATCAAATCCCTACAAACCAACACCTGAATTAAATTTTTCATCATTGACTTGTGAATTTGTCAGAGGTGAATCTGGCGCTTTGTTATTACTGTTGAAAAATATTATTATCTTTGTGATTTCCCGCTGATATATCTGACTGGATTGTTCAGCCTTATCTTGATATATGGGTTGCTAGAACGAATGCCTCGATACTTTGACAATTAATAACTGTAAGTTACTTGTTTAATTCTGGCTAGCAGCAGAATTCAGAATATCCGTCTCATCATATTTGTGACGTGGCAGCTAGATGTATCTCCAGTGAGTGATGGTAATCCCTGTGTAACTAGAACCCAGTAATCATTGCTTCTAATGACCACCAGGCTACTTAGCCAATTGAGCCACCTCATGTGTGACAAGTATAATTTGACACTGTTTATTTATACCTCTGGTTTGTGGTGGTATATCTGACCGAATTGGCCAACTGACGACTGACTTATCAACCTTGAAGTGGCCAATCACAATGAGCCAGGCTGATTCAGGTCAAAAAAGCAAATAGTATCCTTACGAAAAACATCTAAAGAAATTCAAGGTTATAAAACAGATGCCTTACTTCAGACTGTCGCAAGAACAAGTGTCTGTATTGATCTAAATAACTATCGTTCAGGTTCAGGAATTTGGAGTTATAGTTAGGAGTTATCGCTAAGACTTGGTTTAAAACACTTTTTCTGGATTAAACCTGCACTACAAGTACAGAAGACCATTCGTCATTAATAATAAACTCAATTTCTTGTAAATCATTATGTTTGTGAATTATTTAAATATGATTTGAAACAAACATCAATGTTATTACATTTTATTGGAACGTAACTACTTTACATAATGGTGACCCATCTACATATGTAGACAATTTTAGGTAATGCTTTATAGTCAAGCAAATTTAACTGAGATCAGCAGGGAAAAATCAGTCTATACATTAAGTGAATAAAGGGAAAATTGGCGTAAACTCTGAAAGATGATAATAAAGGTGAACAGTTAAATGTATAGTTTGTAATGTATCACGACAAGACATGATAAGTAGACATTTCGTATTATTTGTTATTGATTAATATTTCTTCTATTCCTTCACTTTCCTGGTGGAACATAGGGCTTCAAGCTAAAGGCAGTGGTGATTACTTTTACGGAATGGAGTTGTTAGTCTCATGCCCAACCTTCCCTCTCTACCAGTTTGATTACTGGCTTAGCGAGGTGAATTTGTGAGCCGAAGGGGGATTGAACCCTGGAAGACATGCGTGCTTGGTGAGCATTCTACCACTGTGCCACCGGTGTACTTTATTGACATAGGAAGTTAATAATCTAACTATTTGCTAGAAAGTGTTTTTGGCATTCAATAGATGAGTTACTGACCTTTCTTCAGAAAATCCATCATATTTATTGTTGATACCTTGTAAGCAAATGTTTGTCTGTTTTTTTAACTTGAACTTTTCGCCAACACTAGTAATTTTCTATCACTTTCAGTTGTCTCTTGACTGTTACTATGCATTACAAAAGTGAAATCTTTTAGTTTTTGCAACACTATGTGAATGGTATTAAATTACTAGTAAAACTAGTGATACCAGTTATCGGTAGGCAGCCTAACAATGAGCTCGATAACGGTAGAAAATATCAGAATAAAAATCCAAATTAATGCAAGAATATTGAGTCAGTATATCACAGGCATTCAGACAATGAGTTATTAAACTCACTGGTTACTTGAAAATACAGCAGTAGTCCACTACTACAAATTAATAATATAATCCACAGATGTTTTTTCACTTCTGAGGTCGTGTCCACTGATAAAAGTTGCTTACCAGTTGTTAAATAGTATTCGGACGAGTATGGGACGTTCCTGCAAATTCCATAGAATATAACACGGGTATTAGCGGAACAAGTAAACAGTATGAATCGGTGAAAAGATGAAGTGATGGACAGCACGACTATATTTTCACTAGAACGCCAAAGTTATACGTATATTTGATAAGGAAGTCGATTAAAAAATGTTAGGCGCAGTGTGTCCATTCGCAGCATTTGACAAAACTGTACAAATCTATTTTACAATACTACACACATTAGGAATATTTCGTTGATATGAAGAAAGAATTTGGACAGTGTGACAGAGTAAAATTCCATAATAGAATAGTGCTGGTACAGCATTGTTTACTGACTATACTTTGAGCAAAATGTATTGCTCATAATCATATCCTGAAGATATTTGTTAGGCCTCATAATATTGATCCGAAGCTGTTAAAACCACCCAGAACAGGCCAAAAACTAGCTCAAACCAAATAAAGCAATTGAGTTTTGACCCCAATACGATTAAACAACCTTTGATTTCCGATGTTATTCAACCGGTTAAATTACTTATTCATTGACTTAACCTTCTAAGTATTTGTAATACATATATGTAGTGTATTTTTGTCCAATGAAGTGGGGTGTTCTCACCCGTTTAAAAAATTCATCTTCTACTGAAGAGTTGAAGTAAGTGGTATTCGGTCTTCAGCCAAATCGCCAATTCTTACGTCAGTATTGAAGCCACACATCAACAGTACTATTATATCAGTGACCATAACAAACACCACTAACTTAGGCATCAAATACACAATAGTAAATACTATTTTCAGGCATATGAAAAGTAAAAGCCTGTAAGATGTTATTTCCTTGATGTTATCTAACAACAGAATACAGGACGTGTGTTTCATCTTGGGTACACCTCCACCCTTTCCCACAGCGATTGATGGTATTCCCATTGAGACTTGAATTCACTAAGTATTATTTCAAAAGCCACGGAGTGATTCATTGGACTACTGAGTCATGTAGACTACAACTTTTGAAATCGGGTATCAGCAATTGCCTCTTGAAATGATTTTGAATTTCGCGTTTATTATCCACAGTGGACCGAAATACGACGCTAGGAAGTAAGCAAAGTGTTATTTGGTTAGCAGTGGTACCCAAAGCAGACATATCAACAAAACCAAGTCTTCTGGTCAATTAGTAATTAATCTACAAGGAATTGATAATCTTTTTAAAATAATTTCTAATAATAACATCTTTATTCTTGATAGTGCGTCGGTGGCACAGTGGTTAGGAATCTCGCCGACCATGCACATGGTCTGGGGTTCGATCCCCTGCCGACGCACACCTCATATCTATGGTCGGCCTGCAAAATTTGGGCTACCGATATTACATGCTGAAAATTGCATACCTGTACCAAAAAATACGGTGTGGAATCAAGCTGTAATAAAAAAAAAAATAGTATTTATATAATGTATAGAATTTTCAGAGAAGTTTATTGCATGATATTTTCCCTTCGTACACATATCTCCAAGTAAAATATTAATTGACAGTATATCCTGTGGCACAATCCTCTCACAGCTGAAACACAAACTGTTCCATTATGATGTATCTGCTTTGTCTCCCTCAAGAAATCCACGATATCTGTTTGGAAGCCGGTTGGAAGATGTTCAGAAGTACATTTTGAGACTCAAGGACATAACTGAAGGACAGTTCTCCCATGTATTGGGACACATTGCCATCCACAATCAGACCTTTGCTCAAGTTTAGTAGGAACTTGAGAATCAGAAGCTTGCAAAAACACTTTGAATGCACACAAGAATAGACAATACCACTAGAAGTCATATCTTAATCAATTAAAACAAACCGGACGAAAGAATATATATGCAATAGACAGCGATGTAAGTTTTTGGCAACTTAAGTTTTAAGCAGGCCGCCAACGTACCTATGTTTGTTTGTTTGTTTTTACTTCAATAAAACCTAACAAATTAAATGCATTAATTATTGAATAAGTTAATAGATTTATATATTAATGATAAAATGATTGACTGAACTGTCTTTTTTTAAAAAATATTTTCTTATTCACTTTCTACCGCATACTTTATACAATAACTATAATGTAGAAATGATATTTTTAATTCCATTGAAGGTAAATATTGTCTTGATTTTTTTTCTTTCTTTGTTGTTACTGTTATTATTATTATTATTTCATGTTAGGTAAGCGCATAATAATGATAATATAATGACTTTTTATCATCACGTTTTACAAAAACAATAATAATAACCTAAACTAACATCTTCATAGAACACAAAACGACTCATTAGTTTAGTAAATCAGTGAAAGTATGCATTACCAGTGTTTATTAGTATTATTTACAGTTTTTCTAACTGCATATCAACTAAATCACATAGTTCTAATGTACTTTAGCATTTTTTTCTCTCTTTCTCTCTCTCTCTCTCCCTTAGAAGTATTTTTAATTAGTTGTGTTTTTCTTCTTTCCTTGTTTTAAATTCAAAGAAGCTAAGCTACTAATAAAAAGGTCTCGGTTTAATTATAGTCTAATATATAAACACCTACTATTTAACTAATGGCAATGAAAACAAACGACAGTACAAAACTCAGAATAAACACTTGAGAAACCATGACAATGACAAGCAAGACATCCTTGGTGAAAAATGCTGATATGCCCGAGGAATTGAAAGAAAATGTCATCAATATATGCATTGAAGCTGTTGAAAAGTATTCAGTGGAAAAAGATGTTGCTTCTTATATCAAAAAAGAATGTGATCGATTACATAAACCATCTTGGCATTGTATTGTTGGAAAAAATTTTGGCAGGTAGGCAGGCAGTTTTCAACGTTTTCCTTGTTTACTTATTTGTTTGTTTGTTTGTTTATTTTTCACAAAAATTGTGGTTTTTATTCAATCGCATACACTTAAGATTAGATTAAATTAACGTAAAACGCTAATACGATATTATTTAGTTTGTATTGCTATTCAAGACGATGACTGCTAGTCATCAAAAGTCATTATTACAGTCGTAGCATAATCATCCGACAGACTGCAAAATTGTTCGAAATAGAATGACTGACGGGCTGACTGAATTTCAACATAGAACTTTGCATAGAAGTGCAGCGATTCAAGTTACGAGGCTTCATATACCACACAGATGTTGAGAAAAAAGAGAAGAAAGAAACTCAAAAGAACAATAGTGAACAGAAATACATGGGGAAAAGAATAGTAACATGGAAAACATGATTGAGAACTATATTGAGCCATATCTCCAGTAGTCTCCAATCGGTGGTCATTAGTATCCTAAGGACTCCAACTAGACGGACTACGCCTCCATACATGGCTCAATTCAACTATTAAATACTTCATGAACTGATAACGAGTTTTAGTCCTATCACCCCTATAACTCCTTTTTAACCTAATTCTATGTAAGCTAACATTGCTTGTCTAGAAAGGCAGTGGCTTAGTATGTGCAACACATGTCCTAGCTGTCTCATTCAATGTAGTTTTACAACTTTATTGACTAACTGACTGACTGACTGTACTTACTTAACACACTATACCTAACCTAAGTGTTGTTTACCAGATGATACCACTTAACATGGGGGATAGAATGCAAACATCTGTGGTCAAAGAAAGCCAGTCTTTTCATAACTTACACTTTCAATGTCTCACAACTATAAAGGAGGATAGAGCCACCTGCTGCACAGTAGTCAAAATAAAATAATTTGAATCTTATACTACTTTATAACAAACAAGAGTATATCTCAGTGTCGTCAGTAAACCCTAGATGATTAGTGGTCAGTATAATTCTAACCTATTTCTGTACTAATCTGTTAATTCACTACTTGCTTAGCTGTTGTCAGTGCAGACCATGGACTTCTCATCGATCCCTACAAATCACCTTTTTTAACTGATACACGGATCACAATTCAGTTAGTGCTTAAAAGAAGACTAACAGAATATTGTTTGTTACTCAGTAGTCGATTGTTATACGGATAAATACTTTTAAAGGAAGCTTTCATGTGGCTTTGATTAACTTAACTAGAATCAGATGCGACTGATTTATTTTTGAGTTTTTCTGTTGATGAATTTGTGCCACATTGATCAGCTGCATACTAACATTCCACAATGAAGAGAAGTAATGTGTACCAGAAATATCAACAGTTAGTCACAAGATAAATGAGAAGTATCTAATTAGACCGTTTACACAAGAAATAGTAATGATGACTCAGCAGCCTACGAATTAACACTTTACTATTTGCAACTAATGGTTTTGTAGGAATTTTGTTTGACTGGTTGGAGGATTTCATCATGAGCTGACATCGTTTAGAGAACCATTGGAAACCAGCACCAGAGATCTGGACACCTACTTCATCCTAGTCTGAGGCTCTTCATCAGTACGCACCCACCACAGGGGTTCGAATCCAAGACCTTCAGGTTACAAGGCGAGCTCGTATACCAATCAGACACTGAGACCCCACTCAATGGCCAGTCCATGAATTCTAACTTTTACTAATTCATGGTTTTATCGCGACCACCAATCAGTGTGATCGGTGGTTCACCCAGTCAAGTGTGAGGATAGATTTCTCCCACCAATCAAACAAAATCCCTACAAAACCAATACTTATAAATTCTTATTGCTTTGTTTAAATTCACCAAAAGTTGTTTTCTGTCTTTCAATTAGTTTTAAATTTTTGACCATCACTTCTCATGTGGTAACTCTGATCACATTTTAATGTGTGTATTTCTGATATTACAAAAAGCGTTTAACACGGTAATTAGAAGTCTAAATGATTTGATCATAACCCAGTTTAAAAGGTAACATAAGCTAACCAAGCACACTAGGTGACTCAGTCAATTATTTTCACGGTGATGTTTTAAATGAAGCCATTGCAACATCAGTTGATAAGGTAAATAACGGTTGCCTTCGTATTTATCCATTCACCATGAGGAAAAAAGAATATCTCTAATAGATTTCTCTCCTTCGTTCCTTGAGTCCCAAGTAGAACATAGGGTTTCAAGAGTTGAAGTTTCCATAGTGGTGAGGAGGTTGCTAGCATTATGCATAGCATTCCCTCTTTTCTGAGTCTATTACGAGCTAGTAAACTACGCGATGCTTAAATGAATGCGTTTACCATCAAGTGAATGTGAAACTTCCGTATGGCTGGTGAGCATTCTGTTACGACAGAAGAAAACGGTCAGGCAACAGATCGTTTGTTGAGGAAATCGGAAGATATTTATATATTTTTATGTACATTATTATTCGTTATTATTAGCAGAGAAACAGCATCTTCTGGTTGGTCGTTTGCTCATTGGAAGTGCCCATTTCTTTGAAGGTCAGACTATATATCTGCTAATCGTATCCGCCCACGCAAAGTCTTCTGTTATTGGTTGTTGCGTTAGTCTTTTAGTTCTTGTTTTTTTCTTCTGACCAAGATTTGGGACGTAAACATTGACGTAAATTTCTGTCTACCAATTTTGGCTGGCAGACAGCTCTCACCATAATTGTTCCTTGGAATCAGTGAAATACATCTCTTATAGATGAGAAACTTAATTATTAGAAAAATAAGGGTTTGTAACATTCATTTTGTCTATATGATTGCACCTCAAATAAGTTTAAATCAAATCGCCTTGAACAAAACAGTCACTAATCAACTTGGATGCATAACCGTTAGTTGAACTGAATTAGCTTGTTATACCTCTTAAGATTCAAAAAATTTTTCAAGCATCATATTACTGGCTATTCAAACATCATTGTTTAATAAAAGATATCTGCATAGTTTTATACTCAACCTTGAAAAATATTAATTTGTGTTTCGACATAATAAAATAAAAATTCTCTTATTATTATTTCCCTCTTTATTTATTTAGTTATATTACACACGAAGCAGGATGTTTCATCTATCTATTTATCGATAATGTGGCTATACAACTTTTTAAATCTGGTTAATTCAACATTCAACGATACCATTCACTTGTAAATTAAAACAAAACAGAAAGTGGAGCCTGTTACATAAAGAAGAAAACGTGTAATAAAAACCATTCTGATCATTTATAACTGTGATTTGTTTTAAATAATCTTTTTATAGATATCAACTGAAAAACAAATATTTACCAGTAAATAATCTTATTGTTATGATACTGATTAACTTAACTGTACTATTATGATTCCCCTGACTGGTCATTTGATCAATATAACTAAAGTAAAATCGATACTAACTGCCCTATCGATTGTACTGATTGATGGTATCACAGAGTGATCACTACTGTATTAAAGCCACACAAACTCTCAGTGAACTGAAGTGACATATATCACAAAAGCTCTTTCTTATGATGACCGATTGTTATGACCAAAACTACGAACGAGTAGACTATGAGCCAATACCAACTTAATGCGCTAGCTAATCTGTCCTAATTGAACGCCAACAGGAACAATAATACTACCAGGCCGCAAAAAGACAGAAGAGAGGACTGGAAGTTGTTAACGGAACTTTTACTGTCTCAAAACAACAGTCAAAAAAAGTTGACAGCGCTTGCGTATATATATTTAAAATGACCTTAATATCATTGATAAATTAAGACAGTGGACAACCAATAAGATTTCAAAGGTCATAAGAGGGTTGAGGGGAAATCAGATCATAAATCAACAATTGGGGTGAGAGAAATACAAGGAGACATGTAAAAATGACATAGAAAATTAGGCCTATATATCACCTCCCGGATCCAAAAAGGATGCGAACAGGTACAATCAAATTAATACCTCTACTTCTTTGGGAAACGTACTGTAGTGGATCTCTTGAGAATGGATTGCCTTCTGGTCTGAGATTCCTTTTTGTTCTGTAACTAGCGCTTTTGTGCCTTAGTATCTACTCGAAGTACTTTAAATGTATCCATTTAGAGATCTAGGGGTATCTCAGGTTTCGATGACGTCCTGTGGAGCAGTTGTAATTGGTTTGTATGTCTCATCCAAGTTTCATGACCCACTGTAACCTCGAACAAAACAGCTCCAAGTTAATGTTTTATTTGGCCTTCTGCCCATTTCTCTCTTCCTGGGTGATAATCTCGAGCATAGACAAGTTCACGCTTCTGGAACTAAAACTCAGTAATATTCCGATGATTTGGAGGTGACAGAGTCTTAGCTGAAGGTCTGGATGCAGGGACTTTTGCTGCTGCTGCAGTTGTCTTTGTGCTGGGTAGTTTCGGTAGTGGTGCTATTTCTGAAGACAACTTTGAAGGTTCTAGATTTCGAAGCTCTGGTGCGTTTTCAGTAGCTGTTTAGGGTGCTGTTGGGACGTTCGGTCGCAGGACCGCTTTCGTGGTTTTGCTACGTCTCGATTTTGGCTGGAACCACGTCTTGAATACTTGGAGGGAACTCGAAGAATCTCTTGCTTCAACTCTGTTGCATTTAATGTTAAGGGGGAATTCCGAGAGCCACAGGCTTTTAAACCAATCCGAACCCAGTAAATTCAGCTTTGCGTCATTTACAAAGGATTTACCGATAAGCTGGATCTCACGGAACACGACGTTGCATTTTAAATGCCCGGTCAAAAGGACATTCCCACCATATGCACTTAGTGCTACCTGGTCAGTCGTCTCCAAAGTGGGGCATCCCAATTCTCTCCACAACCTCCTTGATATTATCGCAATGTCGGATGCCGTATCTGTCCGGCAATAGACGTCGACATGATCGGTTTCAGGACTTCGTTTGGCGAACCTGATTACGATATCTATATTTATGTCCAATGATGTGGCATCACCGATATTGACTGTGTTTGTAGGGGTATGGTTTTACTAAATGCCAAGCTCGACAATGCCGGCATGCTGAGGATGGGGTCTGCTGCGGACGATGAAGTGATTTTTGCTGACGATGAGGCGGTGCAGTTGATGTCAACGGTACTGGATGCACTGCATGTACTTTTGCTGTATTTTGGCTGCCAGACTGGACCCGAATAGTATCTTTATGAGTATTGATTAAACTCTGGTATTCTTCACCGACGTTTATCAAAGTCATTCGTGGATCTTGTTCCAGTCGATTTAATAGGCGTGCGCATATGTCGGTGAATTTGGGGGACTGTAAGCCAAATATGAAAATCAACACTTTTAACTGGTTCTCTACCAGCGATTTCAATTTAAAACGTTCACAGGTGCGATTGACTATATCCAACTGAATATGGATATCATCATTTTCGATCCGAACCAGCTTTTTTCAATGATATCAAGTATTGAATAAGGATCTGTGGTCACCAAACCGATTTCGAAGATTCTGGACAGTTTCATCGAATGATCGATCATTTAGCTTCTGTGGTAGAATTAAGTTTCAATGTTTATCTAGTTCATCTGATCCCATTTACGAATTAGAAGCAGCACTTTCCAGGCATCATCTTTATCGTCAAAGTCTGTTCGAAATAGGTATTCGTATCTGTGAAACCAGTTATCACACGTCACATTCTCATCTGGGTCATAAATAAATTCTGCGATACTGCTACCAGTGTTATCACTGGCTATAGATGAATCAGCAGGTCGTGATATGTGTGGACCAGCAAGCATTTCCATGAGTTTTAGTTGCTGTTCCATTAGTTTTTCTAAACGCAGTGCGTACATCTTGAGCGAAACCCGTCGCCAAAATTTTTATGACAGGAACTACGACCTAGCAGACTATAAGTGAATATTAACTTAACACGCTGACTAGTCTGTCCTAATCGCACGTCAACAACAATAACACAGATAAACTGTCATTAACATACAAAGATATTATGTAGATTATTTGAACATAGAATAGTTAACATAAAAGTTATTGTACACTTATGCGAAAAGTATGTGCTACGTTGTCAGATTGTTTGACAGTGTACATTTTGGATAGTACAAGTGCGCCGTCCAGCATCTTAGCTATAATGGGCCATATTAATATATTAGAACAAGACATATAAGCCAACAATATTGTTTTCAATTAGATCTTCAGGCTTCACTCTAATTTACATAGATTATATATAAAAAAAATTTAACCAATGACGGTGATTTTGTGAATCAAATAATAATAATAATGTGGTAAATGTTTTGAACGAAATTAATAACGATGATTATAATGATAACAAAATATTGATAATAAGGTTTATGCAGGTAATAAGACTAGCAAAGATAGTATATGTATGTATGTGTATATGTAGACAATTCAATAAATAAATTAGGTCAAATCTTAAAAGGTGAAATGGAACGATAATCAGAGTTTAAATAAATATAATAAAAGTACGGAGATAGAAGATAAGATAGGGTGGGAGGATTTTGAATAGAATTCACGTAGGCCAAGGGAGAGACAAAGGTAGAACAAACTTCTTTTGCTGTATGCAAAGACTAGGATTGATCTCCCGAATTCCCATAGCTTCGGCTATGTGTAAAAGGTGGGTTCGACTTTCGCTCTAAAGGTTCAATGGAAGGCGATAGATAGCTTTGAAGGCACTACTTCTATCCACTTAGTGACCCCTATCAATCAAATGAGTCAAAATAGAACTTCTTATAGATTTTATTTGGTCTTTTCCGAACCATGAAGGAAGATGCTCATTAATGCGTTTGTTAAGCTGTCTAGTTGTTCGGCCTATATGGCTTTCTCCATAGGAGCAACTAAATTTATAGATACACATGGAAGTAACTTATCTTTCACTTGAGCAATCAAAATTGGTCGGTTAAAAATGACAAACAGAGGGTGGCGGCAAAATAATTCCGTTTTATCTCTCTCGATAATCTCTGATGTAAGACTTCGCTAGACACGTCCCCATTAAATTTCAGTTTCATGAACAGTTGTTTCTTTTTAACCGTTGTCAGTTTTTCTTTATTGTACCTGGTATTCATGTGTCTCCTTATAAATCTACTAGGATAACACATTTCGACCAACGTATTTTGGATGCATCCTAGCTCATTTTCTAGGAAGTCATCTGTACAGACACGTCTTGCTCTATTCGTGAGGCATCTGACCAAATTGATTTTGTATCGGATTGGTACAAAACTGAGGAAATGTGTATATTGTCCCACAGATGTAGGTTTTCTATAGACATCTCTCTTTAGTGATTCATCCTCTCTTCTGCTCAATTGGATGTCAAGGAAATGTAGTCTACCATCATGTTCTTCTTCACAAGTGAAGATGAGTGATAGATATGCATCATTAAACTTTTTTAACATTTCATTCTTGTCAGCTTTCACATCAAGAATAATAAATGTATCATCAACATAACGAAAATAAGAATCGGCTTTCTCTATTACTTGTCTCAATGGACCATTTTTAATCTTGGCATGAAAGAAATCCGCCAAAATTGGCCCCAATGGAGAACCCAAGGCAATACCGTCGATTTGCCTGTAGTAAAGGTTGTTGAATGTGAAGTGTACATTCATAGTACATCTTAAAAGCAACTCTTTCAGACTAATAACTGGAATTCCGATGTCGATGTGTTTTCTAGTATCTGTTGGCATATGAATTCCACAGTCTCCATAAGTGCTATTAATATACTCCATTATTCTGTTGGGTTCTGAGCAAAACATAAAGCTTCAACAGTACACCATCATTTCACTCGACTCTCTACCATCACTTTCAGATGGCCCCATAATTTCTCACAAGTTTTCACTTTCTCCTCACAAGATCTCCTCCTTATCAACATTAAACACCAAACTTGTCGTCGCCTAATCGAGCTCCACTAGGAGTCTAGCCCGTTTGAAGTGCTATGTCATTCAACAGTCTCCTCTGCATAGGTCTAATCCATCTCCATATGCCTCTACATATTTTTTTGGTAACAGATGTTTGGTTGGTTCACTGAGAGAGTTCCTTCCTGCTAAAGGACCTTAGTACTGAATGCTGAAAATTCCTTGCTGTATCATTAGTACTGTTTTTGGAATAAAGCAAAAAATTATTATTATTAGTAGTAGTAGTAGTAGTGTGGTGAGAGCTGGCTGCTAGCCAAATTGGTA